ATTTTAAAATAAAATTACTAGTATTATATTTAATAATATAAATAAAACAAATTTTAATAAATTATATAATTATACTTATAAATTTGTTCTGAAAAAAATCAAGAAATTATTAGAATATATAAATATAAATTTTATTATATAATAAACTTGAAAAAAATAATTTAATTTGTATTATTAATTATTAAATAATATTATATCTAATAATTTATTATAATATTATCAATTTATACTAATTATATAATATAACTTGCAAATATATGAAATTTTAATTAGTTTTGTATTGAAATAAATATAAACTATAATTTTAATAATAATTGTATATTTATTTATGTAATTATAGTTGAAAATAAATACTAAATATAGAATATTAATTATATTTAGTATTGCTAATAAAGAAAATAATCTAATAATAAAAGCATTTTAAATTAATATTTTATATATAATAAATACCATCTAAATACAAATAATTAATAACTTTAGATAATATACACTATAATAATAATTTATATCAATATATTAACTTACTCAACAAAAAGAATTTTGATATATAGTTAACTCTTTCTATTGTCAATATAATGGAACTAGATATTTTTGTTGATATATAAAAAGATTAATAACTTAGAGATTAGAGTTAGTATTAATATATTAGTTCAAGTGAAATTTGTTTTGCAACAAATGTTGATAATAAAGAGGTATTGATGTTAAAAAAATTGATAATAGAGAGGATTGACTGTATATGTTTATATATATTAATATGTTAGCTATTAATAATTATGAAAAAATATTATGTGGTTTGAAATTTTTAGTTATTTTGTATTAGTTCATATAATACAAATATTTGGTGAGTATTTACAAAAACAACAAGTGGATTATAAATTAAGATATATTATTATCTTTTTAAATATCTAATTGCATTAGTATTTACGCTTGTGGAATGATTTTGAAACAGAAATAAAACAATCAATATGGCACAAAATACTGATAAGTAAAAATCAAAAGAGTATCTTGTATTAAACTTAGAAAGAATTGAATTAGTGAAAATTGATGTAATACTTTCATCGATAAAGATTGTAAGCCAATAGAATCTAATTTATTAAATGCAAAATCAATGACAGCAAATAATCTATTAAGAAATTTTGCGATTATATAATTATGATAATGATAAAATCCTTGCATTATATGAAAAGAAATCCATTATAAAGGATCCTTTTCGACCAAATGAAATGCCATGATATTATAATACTACTGTAAATGCACCAAAATTTCAAGATGCCAAATCTTATTGATATTGTAAGTAATATGTATAATTAATTAATAAATTATAATCAACTTATAATTTGTAGAATATAAATGATACATGAATATTTGCAAGATTTGCAAAATGAATTAACAAATATGCAAATACAAACAAAACAACAATATTTGTACATTTACCAAATGACTTAATAATTTGAAGGAAAAGTAACAATATGAAAATTACCCTTTTACTATTTAATAATTCGCTATTACATTTCCCTGTGATTGTCATGGCTAGGGGTACTATGACTTCACCCCCTCCCCTAAAAAAATCACATGATTTATATATCTACCCTAAAGGTGTGATAAGATTATTTTTTCGGTTAAATATGTTTGTAAATTATTTATCAGTAAACAAGTTTAGCAGAGATGTAATACTGAATATATTGAATGGATTTAACACGAGTCAATTACTAAAACAGATTATAAGTTCAATTGTTGTGTTTATGCAGACGTTTTTGTATACCGTAACTGCTGTGAATAAGCATATTTCAATCCAAAAATAGTAAAACAATGAACAACAGTGAATAAAGCACCACTAAATTTAAATTACAAAAATATATCTAAACTCGTTTGAATGGTGATAATTTTCAATTGTGAGAAAATGTAAGGATGTTAAAGGTCCAGTTCAGTCCGATTCCGTCCAAAGAACTAGACGGACTGAACTGATGCAGAGCATTGACTGGACTAGACGAGACTGATACAGGGAAGGATCGAACCGGACTGTACATGTTTTTTGATCATTTATTTATGAAAACTTCGAAAAGTACATTTCAATAAAGGGAATTTGTTCTTAAAAATAATTAAATCACATCTTGCAGTGATCCGGTCCTGAATCAATCCAGTCCTCGATCGATTTTGTCCTAATCAATGCTATGGACGGACCACTGTCTTATCAGCTCGGACCGAACCTTTAACGTCCCTACCACCCCGTTTTTTAGAACCCAAAAAGTGGTGATTATTCACAGCAGTTTACGGTATACTGTAATCTTAGACGAAGATTCTCACAAATTTCAACGATGATTATATGACTATGTTCATCATTATTAGTGTTTCGGGCGAAACTATTTTTCAAAATCCGAAACCAACCGAACCCCTAATTTGGAGACACTTTGTAGATCAAACTGGCGAAACTAGTTTCGCCCGAAACACTATGATCACGCTCTTCAAGTTAAGAATAAAATTTTGATATTAATATTTGAATGAGACAAAGCACACACATTCATACAGATGGCTATTCAGTTCTGCTAAATTAACTTACCTTTTTATTATGTTAAAGCCCATAATTGAAATATATTTAGCGGTGTAAAAAATTCAAGTTTTGATTGCAAACTACACATTCTACCACAGCCAGTGCTGTCACTTTACTATGTTCAGTAACCAGAAGTTACTGGACCATATTGGACTTATAAAATTACCAAGTCCAGTGGTTCAGTGGCACAGTATTAGACTATGTCCAGTATTTTCCATTAACCGCAGCATATATTATGGCGAGTAAAAAATAATGTGAGCTATACGTACATTCCAAAATCTTTTTAGCGCGGAAAAAATCTACGTGCGCAACATGTTCAATTTAATTTTTGTACATTTGTATATGTTTTTATATGTCAAATGTTCTGGTAAATACAATTTAACGGACATTTCAAGACACTGAAATTGAATTAATAATAGTTTTTTAGAATCTTTATTCTAAATATGCACTCTGATTGATTAGGCCAGAAATGACAAAAAAGATTCAAATTAAAATCAAGAATACGGATATATAATGAACTCGTTATGTAATCGTATATGCAAATGGAATATAAAAATAGACATAAAATGGGTTCCGATTAGATGTATACGTCATCCATATACTCGCAAATCAAGAATAGCTTAAATGGGGTATTTGATTAACAAGTCTCCAACGGATTTTTTGTTAAACCGGGGATAACTACTGTATAGATAAAACAATTTTATTAGGTATGATGAGAAATAGAGGTTAAAAATAGGTTCTATTTGCGGAGTACGGCGCTGGATTTTCGCCATCAATCGCTTCTCTTCATAACCAAATTTACATATTTATGAATGATTAACGAGAGTTTAACGTTAGTACATGTACGTGTTTTCTCGCTTATATTTTTTGTGTAGCAGGATTTCTGATCCCGCAGTAAAATTATTTTTCAAATAAATTTGGTGACTGTGCCGGAATAATATGACAACGTATAGTTTTCGAAATTTCCAAAAACTAAACTGATTTCTTATATGAAGAGAACACAAAAATGTGTTCATTCTCATATTTACAAATACAAATTAACAACAACAAAAAAAATTAAAAACCCAAAAATTCCCAGACTCTAATATGAATCAGACAAAAATAACACTGCTGGACATTGAAGAACCAATATTTCAAGAACTACGCGACCAATTCACAATGGCAATCCCAGAAGCTACAGTGACTAGAATTTTAAAAATCGAAATGCCGGAGAGAATAATAAAACGACACCAAAAGTTTGCAGCGAAAATGTCAAAAAAACATAAAACGGATCTGCAAACAATCACACACTCAATGTTTTATGGAGCGACATACTATTGCTGTGATCCGATTACGAGGTTGGAGACGAAAGCTGAACTATGTGAGAATAAAGAGTGTACAATGTGTGGAATTCTTAGAAAGGGAAATAAAATGCGTAAAGCCAAAAATCGATGGTGGTGGTGGAAGAAGTCGGCGATTTCGTCTTCGAATGATCCAGCGAATTCATTAACTGATTCTTTAAAGCAGCGTGACCAACATCCTTATATAATGTTTGTATTGGATGTGCTTTCTCCGTTACCCGGTTATACACTCAAAGTTTTTAATAAGGCAGTAAGTTATTTTCATGCTTTCAGATTGTTACAAATTTTGTTTTCTTGCTAAAATTAAAATTAAAATTTTCGCAGGCTACAATACCGAAATACTTAATAATCTTTGAATACATAGATCCTGACGAACACATCGCGAAACGAATAATAGAACTTTCTGTAAACTATTAAATAGTGATGCGGGTTGAGCGAAAATCTCCGGCCCGCCCGCTCATAAATTATCGACCGCTGACAATTTTCACGTGAATGTTGATCGTATTTCGCAGATATTAGTAACAAAGTGAAGAAAAATGGCAGATCATGTGATTCCGATCCCGATACCGACCATCCGATCTACCCCTTAATTATAATGCATAATGTTAAATAGAATTTCGGTTAGATTTAGAGTTAAGGTTATTGTATAGTAGGCGGGAGTGTGCTATATGGTAAGATTTCGCAAGGAACATTTTTTTATTAAAGCACAAAAAGAGTTTCATAGGCAAAATTTTATGATACAAGCGATTTGATTGGTGCATAATTTTAAGCGTAGATCGGAAGGTCGGCATCGGGATCGGAATCACATGATCTGCAATTTTTCTTTTGTTACTAGTGTTACCGGGTTGAGAGTAATTTCGTTAATCTCCCAATTTTGGTAAAACCCGCCTAGCCCGATTTCGTTGGTTTATTTTCGCTTTAAAATCCTTTTTTTATTTCGCTTTTGATTTCTATTTTAATTTCGCTTTTGTTTTCTATCTTTTGATCTCGCTCTTGTTTTCTATTTATTTTTCTATCTTAAATGCTCTCTTAAATAATAGAATGCATTATGCAACAAGTTCCGAAACAATACTTCATAATGTAATCAAAAGATGTATATATAGTCCTCGCAGATGTTAATAAAGACACAGAATTAAATTGCGTACAATTCTTCTCCAAGTAAATTAGACTTGTAAAATTGTTGTAATTGATTGTGGTTAGGTCCTTTAGTCCAGAAAAGGCGTTGATATTGTTAAACGGCATATTGATTGATTGATTGAAAAAGCGCTTTGTGATTAAACAGTTTAAGGCTTTTAGTTAGAAAAAGCAACGATTGGAAATTAATAGGAAGAATATCATAATAACCGTCACATAAAAACCCAAAATCTTCTTACCCAAATCTGCTAAATTCCCCTCTCTACCGTCATACTGAACGATATCCGCAGATATCGACACAGGAACTAGAAACAAACCAGAATCACTCAGTCTAATCGCTCCTCCAACCATTGTTGCAGTAAAATCGTCGATTACGCCTAATCACGATCCACCCGTGACACTAGCAGATACATGTACATGTATGATACGTAATTACATGTACATAGGTCGATCGACCCTAAATAAGTTATTTTATGTATTTTTTTATCTTATTTATTATCAAAGTTATTATACATTGGGTAAACATTTCAAGATGTAGCATCTTGTTAGAAGCAAAATTTATTTAATATAATTTCTGGTAATTATATTATTGGTTACAGATAAACTGGTTCAATGCCAGTTCTATAACTGAAATGATTGAATTATTTAGTTTTACTAATTCATAAAGTTCTGCCTTGCTAGAATTTTCCAGAATATTGATACCAGCTAATAATAACCATGCAATTGTCATATCCTTTTTCAAGTTTAATGTTGGCACTTGTTTGTTCAATGTTTGTGGTAGCAAGCATCATTCATATGGATCTATAGCGAGTGTTTCTTGATATTAGCGCGGAGTTTATCAAAAAGATCTTCAAATATTTAGCCACATAATTCACCATGAGATTGGAATTTCGAACAACATCGAGAACATTATTCCAGATATCACATCTGCTCGTTTTCTTCCCTTCGATGAAGGTGATTTAATTGATGAATCACACAATAAAATAGAATTAGTTACGATTTTACCAAAGAGTTTATTAGTGTTGCCATTACGCATTACAACAATTACACCAAAAATAACAATTAAGGGACTGCACCCAGATGAGTATACAACTCTGTGCTTTGGCACCCAAGTATGATCTGTAGTGTGGTGCAAGTGACAATACGATTTGTCTAAAAAAATCTTCATTCTAGTTGGAACTTTATTCCTTCTTTATAAGTTTTCAACTGACGTCGTAAATAACAGTTACGAAAGGTAATGTTTTCCGATGATTATGCAACATATTTTGACATTTATCACGGCCGTAATAATATCCCAACGTATGAGGTATATAAAGTAGCTGTATATGATTATTTCTTTTAACACATATATTACAACAAAAATTCAAAGTGGGACACTGGAAACACTTGCGGACATAACGAGGCTGCATACAAGTTTTTTTTTGGTCAGCCTTGGATTTTTTGTGGTGAGAATTCTTCGTTTTTACTTTCATTATGTTCAGCAACCACGCACACAACTGTTGCCTCCCCGATACTGAGAACCATAGCAATCTCCTTGCATAGTGATAAGCCTTGACGTTGTTTCTGGCGTTGTCGGATATCTAAAAAGTATTGATGAACGCGAACGATCATCCTTCTTTCATTGCTAGTTAGGAAACTTCGATCTTGTTCCAAGTCATATAATTTGTATGCTCACATGGACTTGATTGTCGAGTTTTGTATCATAGGAGAAATTCAGATAACGATTTTCGTGTATCAATCTTTTTGCGCCGGATCATATATCTGTAAATTCTTATAGATTTTCATAATGCAAAAATAAAAAAACGGAGTATTTTTCTCATTATATATGGCAAGCAATATATGATAAATAGATTTGATAAGTTTCTTATTTATTCTTCAGAATGTTTTTCGTCACTTAAATAAAGACTCTTTAACCTTTGCTCCGTAAACTCACCAAACGTTCCATATAAATGTACAAATAATTTTTTTATTGGGATGGAATCACTAAAATCAAAAAAAATTATTAATTTTTCTCTTATTGCGAATAATAAACTCTGAAAAATCAAATAATTCATTAAACAGTTGTATTGAAATTTCTGCATACATTTTTTTTAGTACTTTGGAGTGCCGATCTCCTTCTCATAGCAAAAGTCAAGCGAACACATTGTATCTAAATTCCGAATGCGCCTAGTTCAAATAAAATTTTTAAAAGCTTTATTAAATTTGTTTATTCTTTCACGAATACCGAGTCGTCTCATCACCGCCCAACACTAATTTAAAATACCACACAAAGTTTTACACCGATCAAATAAAGTTCCATAGCCTACTGTTATGACACCACCTTCGGCAGACATTCGATAGCAATATCCTTTATATTTGTCTCGAACTGTTCTTTCGCAGACGCAAACTTTGTTGATACATTACCGCAATTCGCGCATTAACTTGTTCATTCACGTTTCGGAATGGAATGCGGGTGTAGGGGCATTTCATTATTCTCTGCTTCGGTAGGGATGCCTTTAAAAGGCATCAAGGAAGCATTGGGAAATGGCGGATCTATTACGACGCGACAGGTGGTTTGGGGTGCCTAGAAAAGGGCGCCAAAGACTTGGGTTCCGTAGAATTGCACTGAAGTTTTATTGTTTTGTTGATTTGAGGTAACATTCAAATGGTCATTTATACTTCCTATTGAATTCTGACGACAATATCCTACAGTGTTTATTTAAAATGAGTAACCGCTTTCCGCTGCTCGAGAGTCTTGTCATAATTTTTCAGCTTTCCATATAATATTTCTAAGAAAGAATTGTGCATAGTAGATTTTGGTAATAATTAAACATTTATCTAACAAACTTCTGTGTTTGTGAAGTTGACCATGTTATAAAATGTTTTTGATTTATGACGAGTCAAGTTTTCGGACAGTAATTTGTTGACTTCGGATTCAACAAAATTGCGATGATAAATTTCCAAAGTTTTTTTATAATGGCTGAATTTATACTCAAAAAACCAGTTTAGGTATGTATATCTTGTAGAGATATATTCACCAGACTTTGAGAGTATATAATAACGATAAATATATCACTGCGACAAATCAAAGTGGTCGGGACTATTAGTAGAAAATTCAATTTTCTGAGGTTTATTTATCGAGGAGGATTTCCATAACTATTCCCGATGCTCGGTGATATAATTATTAACAAAAATAATGATAAAAATAACAATACATATACTGATATCAATAAAAATAAAATAATACAACATAACAATACTAGAAATCAAACTCCAAAATTCTACATCACTATTAGTACTAAAAATCATACAATCTAATTAACTGCCACATTACATATGCAACCGAGCAACAATTAACACAGGTAGAAAAGGGTCAGTACACTAGGGGGGTGTGTGTGTGCAGAAACCACTACAGGAACCCTGGGATTTCATTAAGGTTCATATTATATTCGCCAAAATTCAAATGGATTACGAAACTATTAGAGGTTCCAGATTGGTGGAAACCTCCAGGTGGAACGACCAAAACTTTAATGGTTTCTCTAATGGTTTTATAGTGAGTTCTGGCGACCAATCAGAAATTTCAAAACAATGTCGAGTAGCCCTTCATATCAAGATCGCAGATCCAAATTTTTTGTGTCGAAAAAAACCCAAAAAGCAAAAAATCGCCAATAGCTCGAAATTTTATTAAGTAAACCAAGATTGGGTAACTAGTAAAAAATGCTCTACTCAAAATTTTGCTTACAATAATGTCTTGGGCGCTATTGTAAGTATAGGTAATCAACACTAATTGCATTAAATAAGTGTTATTACGGAAATTGATATCAGTATAAAGTTTTAGTCGTTCCACCGCTTTCAACTTAGATTTTCCTAATGGTAATAAAATATAACTAGAGTCTTGACACTGACCTTAACCCTAGCGTATAATATCCATAACATTTATTTGTCATGTGTTTTGTGTTATTCGCACAAACAACCAAATCCCTCTACCAAGGTGTAAACATTATAATCTTAAATCGTAATTTACAATGCGCCACAATTAACACAGCGATAGTGGTATTTTAGCCACAATTATAGCATAAATACCATTACATCATATAATGATATATACCAAATTACGCGACAGTATAAAATTACATCTGACATTACAGTCAGGGCTCGATTTACCGATGAGTCGGTAATTAAATTTTAAGATATCGTTAAAAAGAGACATCGCGATTTCTATAGTGATCTGGGGACAAGAGACTTAAATTCGCAATTCATTAAATCGCAATGTGTCCTGACTGTATTTAAATAAATGGAAGACTACGAGCAAATGAATTTCTAACTGGGGCCAAGATCATTACGCATCTATTCCTCAAAACAAGATAAAATTACGCAAGCTTAATACCTGACATTATTAAAAAAAAATTGGAGAATTATTAAGAAAATGAATTACTAACCCTGCTCAAAGGACTAAAATCGTTACGTATCCAGGGTCCTCTATTAATCTGAGAATTTGCGAAAAACATCAAACTAACAGCAGCACTCTGCATTTAGTTCTCACTCTGATCTCCGTTTTGTTGATAAGTATTAAGGTAATTTTTTTTGTGGATTTATATCAAGATACATCTCCATTTTTTATCTATCCTTCTCCAAATCAAGTTCAGAGAGCTGTGCTTGATTAGTATCCGGGGTACGGAATGCAGTGTTATGTAAACGTTTTGACATATAGATCATATATTGTATTACTCACCCAAATTACAATGATAGCTTAGGATTCTCAGAGAAACAAATATATATAATCTGCGATGGTTGTATAGCTGAATAAGATGTCGTTCTAATATGATGATTATATTCAATATCCCCAAGTTATGAGAAGATGATTAACATCTTTTTCCAAGTAGTATTAGCAGTCCGATGAAGAATCGATGTATTTCCTTAGTAAAGCATTTAACAAATAATCAGTAGAATTATCTATTATAATTTAATAAATATTCCCGTGGATTAGATTACATACACTGCTCTTTCTGTATTATTCGCTATGTATCAGATGCCATGTTGCATATATTAAGTAAGGTTACAAAATGGGAAAGACCGCAGCCATACTCTCAAACATAATACGTATTATAAGTTATAGGATAATTTTGCCCACGATAGTCCTATGTTATTATCTCACATTTAACCATCGCGAAAAACAACAAGAAGAGTAGAGAAACGTCTACCTACTAAAAAACAAAAGCGACTACTTGTAATTACAAGAAAGCTTCGTCCGTATTTGCGTCTTCTTTGGTGTAATGAAGGAAATGAAAGATAACAAATTAAAGGAACCAGAAGAGTTCCACAGTGATTATCTGCTACTACGACTAAGAATAACTACAAGAATGAACACTAGCCAGACCAGAATGTCTTTTCCTTCTACGTCGTCGTCATTTTCTGTGACTACTTGGGAGCGCCCAGAAGCAGAAAACGAAGAGAGAACATAAATTACTGCTAAGCGAGTAACAATCATCGGAGAGGCTAATAATAATGACCTAGATCTGATAATATACAGCTCCAGATCGTTAATATATTCTCTTGTAAGTTGTCACAGCAGCCGAAAGATCGGATTAATTAAAACTTTTCTTTGATGAGAATATAGTTTTATGCGTAGTTTCGAACTTTCTATCCAACATTAACGTTAAAATTAATATCATTTTATTTTTTTTAGAAAAATAAATAAAAGTTAGGTAACATCTAGTAATACTTACAAATTTGTTCAATTTTTGTTTTTCATTATCTGTTTCTCTCTTTGCTCTAGATTACTGGGTTTACAATCTGTCTGAGAAGGTAGCGGTGTCGATAATCACTGGGTACTTGCACTGATGATTCAGGCGATGGTTTATTTTTGACTATTTTTAATTACAGTATCTACGCGAATTTTATTTTATTGACCATTTTTGTCTACTCCTCTTACCAAAAAAATTAGCTCCTCGTCAACTTCCTACGAACATACACGCAATTAATACGATTTCGTAGAGGACGTGTGGTATTGAAGATATCCCGCAGCAGCCAAATGATCTCGACTGTGTCGTTTAGACGCTTCTCTTCGTCGACTATCTTGGGTGCAGGAAAATTTTAACCTTCACTAGCACGACACAACTTCTTCAATAATAACAACAAATCAATTAAATTATCAACAATCAACAACATTTCCCTTACATATCAATAAATTTTATATACCGATGATTGATCCACTTCCTTGCAATAAATTTATGGTTATTGATATGGGGGTTAGACAACTAAGACGCGAACGGACATCGTTAACAATATACCCGACGACAAGAAATTGTTTTGATTACTATCTCCTTGACATCCATAAGGAAGATATTATTATTTCAAGTTCTCAAATCCCGAGTCATATTGCAGCAATTTATATAAAACATTGTAAAGGACATTGCGATTGTTTGTATTTGTAACTTGATTGGATTCATTCAGTACTTAAAGGTCATTATCTTTGATGGATACCTTTTGTGCAACGTTATTGAGATTCAAAAACATTGATTAGTTATTTGATTCGGGCTTTGTTGATACGGGACAAAGTCTTACCCGCATTCAAGACAATAGTGATATCGGAAAGGACATTTATGAAGTTGAAGCTTTAGCCTAAGCTTCGAAAGAGATTTATGTGATTCAGTAGTACTATCTATTCGGTCGAGTAAAGAGCCATGTGAGAGTCTAAATATCGTATTTTATAATTTCATTGTATTCAACAACAAAGGATCGTACATCAGTTAACTTTGCAAGCATCACCCGGCGCATGAAAAGTCATGTCAAAATTTAAGGAGAACATCAATTTTTTGCAACGAACGTTAAACCCGAATCCAATGTACTGATATAAAGACATGATTACCCCCCTTATTTAGTCTGCGAACTTCTTTGTCTAGACGACTGTGATATTAGTATATGATATGATTACAGTTGTCCCCATATATAAGCACATCACCCTGTTGTCACACCATCGCATTGTTCCAAGAGGGAGGGGAGGTAATATTTATAGATACAATGAAATGTAACATAGTATGGCTGTAAGTTACGATCACTGAGTCATCATTCAATCCTTTAATTTTAAAACGTTCTCTTATACATTAATCACTTTCTTAAAGATAGACTATGCGTTTTGTGACCTGCAATCAAAGACATTATTCGATCCTCTCCAAGAGTTCCCTCCTCCTGTCTAAGACGAGCACAGCAAAAAAAAACTGGAACACAAAGTTATAAATGCTATGCTTCTGATCACGGCTTGCCTCAGGTAATGCTTCACGTGTTTACCTTTAGCCTACATTAACCTATCTCCCTAACCCTAATCCTACTTTAGTAAACTACTATTATAATTGGG